TCAAGATATATACAAGGTATTGGAAAAATAAATTTTCATACTTATTTTCAATGGCTATGTCGGAACCATACTGGCAACATTCTGATGAAAATTCGTAAAGTAATTTTATTTTGGAATCTGACAGTCTGTTTTTCATTTTCCAACAAATTATCTTGTCCATTAACGATAATCTAAGGATATTAAAGCTGCAAATACCCTGGACAAACTGATGGCATATAAAGGATAGTGATCAGTTTAAAATACAGATTGCTGATTCAAGCAAAACGCTTCAATTATTATTTCCATTTCCTCCACGTTCGAGTGAATAACGAATATAGTTCAACTTGATGAAAATTCATGGAATATGTAAAACACTTGCATTCAGTGGGAAGCTTGAACGCTAGATATATTTTGATTTCACCGTCCATTGTTATCGAATAATAGAGATTGTTTTATTAAGATCAAAAGTGACTCTTTGTTTGACAAATTTTATCGACAATAATATTAAGTAGGGTAACCTTGGGACGCCACTGGATTTCACAATTCCAATTTGATTATGGCTAAATAAGCCCCTCATGACAAAGAATATCATTGCCAAATTTCGAGAGAATTGGTGGAAGGACATTTGGGATCTTCATAAAAACCGATATTCTTCAAAAAGTTCAACGCACTGTATCTTGAGAACTAAGCATTTCAGGACCCAAGTATATATGATATAAATCTCATGTTTTCTAATGCAGAATCATCCCCATGATTTTTTTGCGCATAATTTCTGGACACCCTGTATAGGAAGCACTGTTATATACGTGTAAATAATGACAATTTCGAACAATGGGCTCATATCGCAAAAAAATTTAATCCATAATTCGATAGAACTCACCCAAACTAGCTCACCACCGCAAACCGTTTCTTCCTGTGAGCTTCCTACGTTTTACAAAATATTATTGAAATCCCCGATTTTTCGGACCTCTGAAAACGAGGTGATGATATGACGTCAAAACCCTAATACTGAAACAAGACTATTCCAGTCAGAGATGAATGATACAAGATTTGTGACAGAGTGAATTAGCGCGAGATTACAGTGTAAAGAATTAATATATCAGTTGCCTCAGTCTCCGTCGGACCATGTCGAGATGAGGTTCCTACGTCATAAGAGGGTCCGTTTTCAGATGGTACTATTATTTATGTCCAAAAATGAAACATTCCAGTTAATTTTTCGATCGAATTATGTCGTCAATCATTATTTATGTATAAAAGGATCATTATAAACATGGTTTGAGTTGAAAGTTCTACTAAGGTGTACACGCCCATTCTATAGCTCAATGGAGCTTCGCAAACGTATCAAACTGAACAACTTTGTACTGAGGTAACGTTACTTGTATCGTATTGTTTTGGTCTGAGAAATATATGTATGTGACAAGTTTTTGTAAAGACCTATTAGGGAAAGTCTGTATATCTGGTTGATGTATTGTGAGATTTCTTGTGAGGCGTGTTTCCATATCGATAAATATTTTTTTTATGAGAAACGAACAAAATTATAGTGTTCTGCTCATTCATTTCCACCAAAATTTTCTATTTACAGTTTCATTATTCGATACAATACTAATTGTACATTTTGCATTAAGCTGCGGGAAATCTCAGGGTGCAACTAAAAATACCACATCCACAATTCAATTTAATTTGAGAGTTTCATCATGGTTAAAATTTTACTAACTCTGGTTGAAATAACTCACTTGTGCACAGTCAACATTATAATTAATGAAAAAGAGATAATGGAGATTCATTCTCAGCCTCAAACAAGAATACTGGTTTATGCATCAGCATGCTTCACAGTAAACGCAATGTTAGAGGATGAATTTGAAATTAAACGGTCATACAGAGAGTATCACTTACATAGAAAAATAAATGATATGTAACATGAGGAAACTTCGGAATTGCGTCTTCGTAGATTATGAACACTTGAATATTTTGAGAAAATGAGATTCTAGGAGACGATGCCTGATGTATAATATGCTTTGTTCTTGTATTGTTGGATCATCATAGAGAAACCTCTACCTCCAGAATTGAATCTCCCATAGCCGGAGTAATTCGACCAATTTCAGGAGTGGCGGCAATTTCGAAACGTATTTTTTTTATGTTCTGGCTCCCACGAAACGGGATATCTTGTGATGTTCAGAGAACATCGTGAGAACCAAGAGAAATAAGGTAGGAATTGGTATTCTTCGTAGATTTCTAGAGGTTATATGCCTCGGGGAACACGCTTCCTTGGCAATGTGTTCCAAAGCTGTTCGTTGGATGAGCGAGTATTTGGGAAGAGATGTTCTGCAGGTTTCCAAAGTGACCACGGAGGGGTGCGAAGCCTCAACTCGACGGGTTAATCTCGCGTGGACTGCCAAGGGAGGGACAATTGTTGATATTTCAGAAGAGGGTGCTGCACTCCAAATATGTATGTAAATATGAACAGTATTCCAGGACAGGTCGGATCTGTGCCTTACAGATCATAAGCAGCTGACTGGAAGTGAAATAGCTCCTAGCCCGAAACAGAAAATCAAGTTTTTGGGATGCACTTTGATCTCACGTGATTTTCCCATGAAAAGTTATTGCTGATGTCTCCGAAGGTATGGTTACTCCTGACAAGCTTATGTTGGGCACAGTGAGATCGGCTTTTCTAGAGAAAAGGCATGCTTGTGTTTTGTTTGCATTGAAATCTACCAAATTATTGGATCCCCATTCGAGAATTGTTGTCAAGTCCATATTTATGCTGTCAACATTTCTCCCTCGTTCGTTTTCGATTTGCCTGGTTAGTATTGAAGCCCTGGAAGAGAAGGCGGTATGGAGGAAACTATCATCCGCGAAGCTGTGTACTGGACATGAAATTGCTTCCAACAAATCGTTGATATGGAGTAGAAATAGTGTTGGTTCTAGAATTGATCCTTGCGGAACACCAGCATTTATGATAAGAGAGTCAGATGAAGCTCCGTCAGCCACTGCATGGAGAGACCTGTTTGAGAGAAAACTAGCCAGCATCCATAGGGGAGTCAAGCCATGAGATGGAAGTTTGGCGAGGAGTCCGTGGTGCCAGACTCGATCGAATGCCTTGGAGATATCAAGTGCCACGGCTAAGGTTTCACCATATTTTTCAATAGATTGCTGCCATATATGTGACCCGTAAGTGAGCAGGTCACCAGTTGATCTCTGATGACGGAAGCCATATTGGTCATTGACTTTGTATCATTTATGGAGAAACACATAGCACATAATCAATGAAGTTCGAAAAACCTTCTTCATGTTTAAGTATAGTAAAACTCCATCGACATGTTGCTTCGTATTCTTCCTGAGAAGAGCTCGTTGACGTTGTGATTTGATAACTTTTATGATTCGCAAGAAAACGAACATGACTCCAGTAACTTCTTTCCAACTTATTACTACTATATTTTCACATTCACCTGGAATCTGTGAAATTCAATATAGTCATTTTTCTAACAAGTGCGCAAAGTGTTACTTTTTCGCACGCAAATACACTTAGTTCTAATAAGTCTTCCCAATCTGTGATCATCACCTATATACCTCAAGGCTGCTCAAGTGCATTGATTAAATCAGCAATCCAGGGAGGAAACTGCAATAAAATACAGGGTATTGTATTTGAAATAACAAAGTTGTTGCTACTTTTGGAGAGAAGCGGCAACACTGCATTGCTGAAAATATTTCAAATAGAGAGAGCATATTCTGAAATATAAGCATGTATATTTTCATGGAATTCTCTCGATATAGAGATAGTGTGAGCTCGTCGTGACATACCGTACGTATTTTTTTATTTAAAACATAATACCTAGATAGTATTGATATATAAACATTGGTTGTTTTCAACTAAGAAAGAGCAGGAATGCTTGAAGTAGGATGGAATGTTGAATAAATACTAAAAGCTCAAAATCATCTCCACAAATTTTCATCGGTGAACAAAATTGGTATATAACGATACCTTCCTCACTATACGACACGCAGAACATTGAATTACATCTTCCCAAAATAATGCGAGAATTCGTTCACGTTGGGTCAAGTTCGCACCAGATAGTGGTCATGAATATTATCTGGGACATCCCTGCACTGATGATAGCCTAAAGCTCGAAACTGGTCTGAAGGTGAAGCGTTCCTGAACCACTTAGGCGCAGCTTGGCGTTCAGGAAACTCTTGCTATTTTATTGGTCTATAGGAATCATGGCAAAGATTTCGGGAGGAAGTAATTCAATATTCTGCGTGGCATATAGCCATGGAAGTAGTCGTTTTTCTCTCGTTATCTAGCAATTTCGTTCTTTTATGAGAATTTGTGATAATGACTTTGAGCTTTTCGTATTTATCGGTAATTTTTTCTCGCTTCCTCAAATTATGTTGGTACAGCGAATCTGATAGTCAAGTTTCACTTCTAGAAAAATAAAATTTTTTGTTGTAGTGATTTTTTCAAGATATCGATTGTGCTACTGAGCCTATACAGGCTTGATTATGCATAAATTGAGATCATATAAATTCACCGAACCTTCATCCATCATAAACTTCCTCGTAGCGTAGAATGATTATTAGAACCATAGATTAACGGAGTCGTTAATCTATGTCAGAACCGATATTGTGCTCAGAAGCGGGCAAAAAATGCAAGTTTAAAGTTTTGGAAAAAAGTAACTTTTTGAAGTCCTGTATCTTGAGATGTTTCAAACTCATAGAGATGGAATAAGAATAAAATTGTTGGAAATTCATCCAGCTTCAAAAAAGGTTGAATTGACTTTTTCTTTAGGAACTCGTCTTTTAGGACTTTAGGACTAAAAACCGAAATTGGTCGGAAAATTTGAGGTTTTCTGAGCACCACACTTTCAGCATAGGTCTTTTAAAGTTGCAAACTTGGTTTCATACCATTAGGCCTAACAAAATGTAGGAAAAGAAGGAATATGCGACTCAATGCGAACCAGGGTTTCTAAAGTCAGCAGCCATTAAAACATATTCGTATTGTATGAATAACACCAAAGACGATGGCTGTCAATAAATTCAGAGTGTCAATGTCTTCATAACCTCCGAAAATATCGGAAATGGGATTGAAAAAAAGGCCGACAAAACGGAGGCCAAACAAACCCAAGCAATGCAACTCAAAAACCAAGAAATCTACATCGAAAGTATTGAACAAAAATCCTAAACCAGTATCAGTGACTCGCACTAGCATTCCAGTGAGAAGCTACGAGCACTGTCACGACAGGTTCCTAACCTATTCCGAAATCAGAGATTTTCTACAGAAAATGACAACAAACTATCCAGAAAAGATCAAAGTAGTCATCGTTGGACATTCAAGTGAAGGAAAACCGATATACCTAGCGAAAATCAGCGAGCTTTCCACTGAAGAGCCCAAAATGGCTACTCTTGTAGAAGCTGGCTCCGATGGAACTGATTGGATGGCCGTATCCTCAGCCTTATATCTCATCAGCTTCCTCACCAAGAACAACAGCTACACCAAAATCATGGACTATTTGATCCTACCTTGCTCCAATCCCGATGCTTACCATTACAGCATATCAAATTGCAAATCTGCGAAAGCGAGCATCACAATGAGTTTATCGAATAATTTTCCATTAACGCTGGGACTGAATGACGTCACTTCACAGCGTACTGAAGGAGTGTTGCTAGGGATCAAGAAATGGAAGGAGAACTTTAAGTTCGGGTCTCCAGAAACCCTTGCTTTGATAAAGACAATAACAGCCCACCAGTTCAGCGTGAAACTCTTCATATCTTTGCAGGAGGAGGGTGAAAAGATTGTGTATCCGTTCGGTTTCTGTAAGGAAAATGTTGTGGATTATGAAGAGCTGAAAGCTGTGGCGAAATCCGGCCAAACCGCCGTGAAGTGTCGGTGTCTTCAGATCGGATCTGTTATCAATTTGTGTGGTTTAACATACGGTACGGTCATTGATTTTCTGAGGACGAATCAGAGAGCTGTGAAGTTCACTTATATCTTGCATTTACGTGTGAAAAAAAAGAAACCTGAGTCGAGAAATATTATCAGTTGTGGAAATGATGTTTTGAATTGTGTGAGGGCGATGGCGAGGAATGTCTTCATGCATTACAAGAAATTTGAAGATAATAAACGTTGTACAAGCTGAATGTTAAGTATCTTCCTATCGATTTTAATTCACAAGAAGTATTTCTGTTGTAAAATTTCTCATCTATAATCTTTAAAATAATTCGTACACCTTCAAGGTCATTCGCAAATTCATCGAGATGAAAATGCGAATTTTACACGTGAAAAAAATCTAATTTCAATACAGGGTGATTCAAATTTCGATGTGAATATCTCATGGACATATTGTTGGAATCATGAAAAAAACTTTTCCTCATATTTCTTTATCGCTTGGAGCGCACGAAAGGAAATCCCTATAATGTTCAAAGAACATCGTGCGTTCCTAGGGAGGATATGGACAGGAGGTAGGTATTGGAATTTTTTTTGAACTTTTGGAGATTATATGTTGTTGGGAATACTTCCACAGGCAATGAATTCCAGAGCCTAGCCGTTCTATGGATGGAGGAGTCTTGATAAAGTGCTGTTCGACATCTTTCGAGGTTGACAACGAAAGGATGAGCTGACTGGGCTTGTCTAGTTCGTCTGATTGGTATTGCTAGGGAAGGTATGATAGCAGAGATTTCCGAAGAAGATTTCCCGTGGAAGTATCGATAGAAAAGTGAAAGGTCGCCGACCTTTCTACGGTGTTCCAATGATGTCGAAGAGTGAGTGAGTGTGGCGTCACCCACCAGGCGAATGGCTCTTCTCTGGATGGAATCTAAGAGCATCAGCATATGTTTTGGTGCTGAACCCCATATGTGGGAACAGTATTCTAGAACAGGCCGTATCTGCGCTTTGTAGATCATGAGAAGCTGTTGAGGTGTAAAGTAGCTTTTCGCACGGAACATGAATCCGAGTTTTTGTGAAGCAGCTTTTGCGATGGATCTGACATGATTATCCAATGAAAGAGTGTTGCTGATGGAAATACCGAGCATAGATATGGTGGGCTTGGTGAGGATGGTGGAGCCAGACATTACAATATCTGGGATACTTAGTTCCGCCTTTCTAGAGAAAATGCAGGCTTGAGTTTTGGTGGCGTTGAATTCAACTAGGTTGTTTGTTCCCCAGGCTGTGATTTCAGCAAGATCTTCATTGACAGCATTGACCTGCCTGCGCCGTGAGTTCTTAGTTTCCTGGGAAGAAATGGGAATTCTGGAAGAGAACGCAGTATGGACGGTACTATCATCTGCAAAGCTGTGGATGGGGCAAGTTGTTACTCCCAACAGATCATTGATATGAAGCAGGAATAATGTTGGTGCCAAAATTGATCCTTGTGGAACGCCAGAATTGATGCCAATGGTATCAGACGATACACCGTCCACCACCACGTGAAGCGATCTGCCTGAAAGAAAACTCGATAAGAGATGGCATAGCTGAGATGGTAAGCCGTATGATGGTAGTTTGTGGAGGAGTCCTTCGTGCCAAACACGGTCGAATGCTTTCGATATGTCCAACGCGACAGCTAGAGATTCCCCGTGTTTTTCTATTGAAGATTGCCATAAATGGGTGACGTAGGCAAGTAGATCTCCAATAGATCTTCGGTGGCGAAAGCCGTATTGTCTATCATTGATGATTCCTGAGCTCTCCAGATATTTGATACATGCCAGCCACTGTGCACTTAAATTCTAATGACATTAAGACAACGAGTCAATAATAGTACAGGCATTTTGTTGAATATTGATATTGGAATATGATGAAATATAAATAGTAAGAGATGAATGTTTGCTATCATAATGTATTGGTCATAGCACATGGTTTAACCACTCGCCTTTGGCTCGTATCGTAAGTTACCTGGGGTCTTGTATTAATAGCTATCATAACATGATCGTTTCATAAAATACTATTTTAGTGTGCTTTTACATGCAGTAACCATTCAAAAAAATCACGAGTACATGCAAGAACTATCAGATTTTTTTTATGTTCTGGTTCCCACGAAAAGGGATATCCTGTAATGTTCAGAGAACATCGTGAGAACCAAGGAAAATAAGGTAGGAATTGGTGTTCCCCTTGAATTTCCTCGGGAAACATCTCCCTTGGCAATGTGTTCCAGAGCCTCGCTGTCCGTTGAACGAACGAGTCTTTGGAAAGATATGTTCTGCAGGTCTCCAAAGTGACCATGAAGGTGTGCGAAGCCTCAACTCGACGGGTTAATCTCGCGGGGACTGCCAAGGAAGGAACAATTATTGTTGATGTTTCAGAAAAGCAACGTCCATGAAAATATCTATAGAATAGCGCCAGATCGCCAACTTTTCTACGGTGTTCCAGAGAAGTAAGTGAGTTTGGGAGAGTGTCATCACCCACGAGACGAATTGCCCTTTTTCAGACAGAATCAAACAGATTCAGGGTATGTTTGGGTTCTGCACTCCAAATATGGGAACAGATCATAAGCAGCTGACTGGAAGTGCCATAGCTCCTGGCCCGAAACAGAAAACCAAGTTTTTTGAATGCACTTTTATATTATATGGGTTACCTGAATCCCAACAATGTAAGACAAAAATATATGTTTCAGTTAGAAAAAGTTGGTGTAGTGACATAAACGATGGATTGACTTCAATCCAATACTCGGTCATTTTATATTTATTGTATGATACTGTTTCTGTCGTCCTTGCTATTTGGGAAATCGAGCTGAACCATATAGGATGAAACAATACCAGGTTAGGTTTTTACGACAAAAATAAAAATACGATTTTTATTGCTCGGTTTTATACCGATTGCTCATTTTATAGCATTTTTATTTTTATTGTACGGACAAAGCGATGTGAAATATCTGATGCATACCAGAATCTTCCATTTACCTAAAACCTGATATTGCTGACGCTCGAGTGGAGACAGTTAAAAAGATAGCAACACGGAGGTATGATTGAAAAATTGTTGTTGAATGATAATCTGAAATGAATATGTTGATATAAATGTTCCTCATAATTGAGTTGATTTTTTTTCCCGATATATCAATACATAATGAGTAATTTGCGAGACAGACTGCATAAAGTTTCATGAAATATGGTACGCGCGATCTTCCACGTACAATAAAAGAATTTTTGAAAATGTGAACTATTTTATGGGTTTGTCATCCAAGAAATGCAGGAATCCGAACGAATGATGACATACATTGCAACTGGAGCCTGCGTGTCAGCCACCTACTACTTATTTCGAAGTATCAATCAATCAATCAAAAGTATACTTTATTGTCGAAGATGAAATATCTCATTGACAAAGTCTGGGGAGAACAGTTAATATATGAAAATAAAGATAAAAAATACATAAACATACAACATAGATGCGACCTGTCCTGAAATACTGTTCCTATATTTGGAGTGCAGCACCCAAACATACCCTGAAACTGTTGGATTCTGTCCAAAAAAGAGCAATTTGTCTTGTGGGTGATACCTCGCTCACAAACTCACTCTCTTCTCTGGAACACCGTAGGAAAGCTGGCGATCTGGCTCTATTTCAAAGATATTTTCATGGAAGATGCTTTCATGAAATATCAACGATTGTTCCCCCTTGGCAGTCCCCGTGAGATTAACCCGTCGAATTGAGGCTTCGCACCCTTTTGTGGTCACTTTGGAGACCTGCAGAACATCTCTTTCAGAAGACTCGTTCATATAACGAACACCGAGGCTCTGGAACACATTGCCAAGGGAGGTGTTCCCCGAGGCATATAAAATCCAGAAATTCAAGAAGAACGCCAATTCCTACCTTATTTCTCTTGGCTCTCACGATGTTCTCTGAACATTACAGGATATCCATTTTCGTGGGAACCAAAACATAAAAAAAAAGAAATATGTAATACTTTGTTTCCAATTGGGTCAATATGTGAGAACATTGAATACATATACACGGTGATCCACGGTAGATGGCCTATTAGAAGTATCTGGAGAACGAAAAGACAGAACATTCTGAGAATTGGAATGCTTTGATAATTGAACATCCTCTGTCCGTCTTAAATATTTTCATTGATACAGTGTTGCCACTTCAATCAGAAACAACTCAATTGAGAATTCGTAAATTATTGAATAACTAATATTTCTGATATTCCCAATCGTATTTCAACACATGGCAACTATGCCATGGTCTGCCCCTACTTACGAAATCGTGGCGTCAGTTTTTCACTGGCGGTGAATTTCTAGCCGTTTGAAAATCGACTGGAAAATTCCTAAAAAATATGGAATTGGAAGGTATTTGAGTGGTGATCCTATTCGAGGAATAAAAAAAATAATCCACTCGCCTATTTTTCATATCGGAAATGAAGATATTTATACACGAAAAAAAAGTTTTGTTGCACCAACAAAATAATGTTGGTAATTTTTTTTTGTTAAATGAAACACAATTTCGCGAAATCAACAAACTATATGTTTATTTCAAATAAGCAACCTATTCAAAGAGACAAAATAATTTAATTGAAATATTTGCTTACTTCAACAACAGTTAATTTCATGTCATTCAACAACATTTATAGTTGACATAAAACAAATTTTGTTGATCCAACTATCATCTCATTGTTCAATCAATCATATATGCATTTTGTCCATTCGACAAAATTAAATTAATTTTGACAATGATTTAACTAAATACAACATTATATTTTCATTATATTTTGTTGAGTCAACAATCATTTCATTGTGCAACCAATCAAAGGTTTTTTTTCTATTCGACAAAATCAAATTGATTATGACAACATTGTTGATTCAACACATCACTATCAAGAAATATGTTGTTATTTGAAACAAATCACTTCGTTGAACAGAATCCACAAATACATTATATCAAACAAATATTTTGTTGAATGATTATCTAGTTGCATTTTTGCCACCAGGTGGCTTTTCTTTCAACCTTCCTACGCTCGTCTCGAATGGGGTGTACATATATCCACCTAAAACATCCGTTTATATAATTATTACATTAGGCTGTCCTAGGATTTCTTATATCGCAATATGAAAGCTAGTAGACTTGAATCAACTGAGGAAATTGATCTCTAATTCCTCTTAGTTTTGAAATTCAGTTATTGGATTTTTTGAATATTATTCAGCAAAATATTTTGTCAATTC